CATTTCCGCATAAACCAGAAATAGTTTTTCTTGACAAAGGAAACGAAGAGGCGCGGGAGCGTTCAAACATTACTAAAGCAGTTTTGCATAAACTCTCCTGTCTTTTAGAAAAAATCACAACAGAGAGAGAAGCATCGCGAGAGGGCACATGTCCCGCATTGAAAGAGACAGTCTCTCATTTCCGTAACCTGATCCTCAGTAAGATTTTCAGAAGATACATACTATGTCTACAGCGTTTCTCCCTGAACAAATCACAACACAAAAAGAAGCAGGAAAAAAATTCATGATTGATAGATCACGTTATAAAGGAACATTCTGGGTGAATAAGTGACTGTGGTAACTAGATGACTATGTGTAAGTAATATGATCATTCTATGCTGCTTTGTGAGCCACAATGACTTCTAAGTGAATAAGTTTTTTCTTTTGGACGATAATGAAGCCTAAGCCAATATTTACATTCATGAACTTTTTTCCTGCTTCTTTTTGTGTTGTGATTTGTTCAGGGAGAAACGCTGTAGACATAGTATGTATCTTCTGAAAATCTTACTGAGGATCAGGTTACGGAGATGAGAGACTGTCTCTTTCAATGCGGGACATGTGCCCTCTCGCGATGCTTCTCTCTCTGTTGTGATTTTTTTTAAAAGACAGGAGAGTTTATGCAAAACTGCTTTAGTAATGTTTGAACGCTCCCGCGCCTCTTCGTTTCCTTTGTCAAGAAAAACTATTTCTGGTTTATGCGGAAATGTTTCACAATTAGCGATGGAGACGAATACAGCAAATCCTCGTTGCAACTAGGCACGTTCACCCTACTCTTTCCTAATTGTTGATTGTGAGAAATAAAAACAAGAATCTTGCCTGATTTATATCAAAATAAACTTCTTTTAAATGAAAAGAAATAAGAATCTTCCAGGAACGTCGACAAGAGTTGTAGGTGTACTTCACCATAAATGAATCAAATTGTTTCAAGTGAGAAGTTGCTCTTTAAAGGGGGAATAGTCACCGTCTGGTTTCAAGGTATGCTGTAGTGCTTGTCGAGTTACGTTTAAACTGAAATATTTTTTTCATAGAAAACCTTTGCTCCCGGAGCTGTAGGGTTTGTGGTGGTTATTTTTTGCGCATAGTGTGCTAGAGAAATACAACGTATATTTGATTCTGAAAAGTTTCTGGCAAATTTTCGTAGAATAGTGGGCTAGAAAATATATTGTTTCATGTACATTAAAATAATTGAGTCGGTGGCAGCTCAGATTTTTGTTGTTTTTGTTTGACATTATCCATTTTTGGTTTATTTGTATTAGGATTATTAAGTAGGCTGGGATGACGTTGGCTGATAATGTGCTGTTGTAGTGTGTATGTCTGTTGATGCAGAGATGGGCAACTCCGGCTAAGTTCAACTCCAACTCTAACTCTAACTCCAACTCCAACTCCGTTTTAACTCCAATAGGAACTTATTTTGTCTTGATTCATTTTCTTCTTTATTTTATTAGTAGTTGTTTATTTTGCTTTTGTTTACAAGAATACACACAAAAATAGTCATTTTAACAATTCAAAATTGCATTTCAATAATGTTAATTTTGAAAGCGTACTTTTTGTCATTTTACATCGATGAGATCGGAAAAGAAAGCCACTTTGTGAAAACACTCTCTCTACCGGTGCCGACGTGGCAGGTACGCATAACAATTTTTGAGCTAATTTACTTAAAATCGCATATACTATCTTCTTTTGAAAACTAACTATCTCGTCTTGAACAGAATTTTGTATGTCTATACGTGTTTTTTTTATTTTATTTTGTGATGAACAATAACCAAAAAGTGTTTTTCGTTTTTCACCTAAAACAATGTCTGAGCTTTCACCTTTATCATCATCTGCTGCATTATAATAATTACTCGAACTACTGCTATCTTTACTACTATTTAATTGGAATGCAGCATCAGTAACTAACTTTTTTATTAATTGACACAAACTTTCTTTCACTGGATCAGAAAGTTCCGATTGACTATCCAATTGAGCTTGAATTTTGCGTCGAGAAATGGTGTGCTTAAAAAAATATCATCTTTAAAAAGGTGAAACGTATCTTTCTTTTAACCATATTTTCGATGGAAATATCGAATCTTTCGAAAAGACCTCCAAAGCGAGCTTTTAACGATGTTATCAATACCTTACATAAACTCGACGTATAAATACAACAATTTTTCAATTCATTTTCCAAATCGAAAAAAATACCAAGAAGACTAGGTGCGACCAAACTTATCGATGGAGAATTTTGTGCTTGAGCCCGTACAATTGCTTCGGCAAAAAGTGCGAACAACGAGTGGAATTCACGCAGTATTGCAATGTCTCTTGATGTTAAACGTAATTCTTCCTTATTGCAGTGTTTCAAATATTCATTTAATACACTAACTGGTATTTCAATTATTTTCATAACAGTATTGTATTGACTGTTCCAACGAGTTTTACAAGCAACCGGTATTGAATATTTATTAGCTTCCAAATTTTCCGCGAATTTGGTACTCTGATGCGAGTATTTCGCTATTTTAGTAACTTTAGCCAACGAAGAACGAGCACAGCTCGATTCTTTTAAACCGTCAGCCACTACAAGTTGTAAAGTGTGGCTAAAGCACGGAATACGTAATAAATTAACAGAATTATCATTTGCTAATGTATTAAATATATTTTTAGTATTACCATTTAAATTATTTTCATCTGTTTCTGAATCATCGTCATCTATCCGATCATCATCATCATCATCATCTTCATCACCTTCAAAATAATGCTCAAAACCAGGAACTATCAAACTTTTAAATGCTTTGACATTATTAGCAGCATTATCAGTTACCAGTCGTACAAGTTTGTTTTCAATATTATAATCTGATGAAATTATTTTTTCAAATTCATTTAGCAAAGCTTTATCAGTGTGGCTACCTGTGATTAGAGGGAAAAGTCGCGTGAGAAAACACATTCAAATACATCAAATTAAAGATATACCTGTTAATGGCAAAAATGAGAGAACATACGATTTAAAAACACAATCAATGATTGAATGACCAGTTACAGCGTAAAATGGTCTCATTCTCCGATCAATCCAGATATCTAGCGTCAACGAGATAAATTCAGCAGTTGTACATATTGTTTTCAATTCACGAATCATTTTATCATATAAAGCAGGTATAGATTCTCGACAGATACTTCGGCGACTTTGAACATGAAATTTAGAATCAACTTTACTCATTGCTCGTAAAAATGCGGGACGTTCAACAATCGATAGAGGCAAACCCAGATCTATTATTAAATCATTGATTATCATATTGTTTAATTCAATTTGACGAGGATGTTGACTACCGTATTTTGTTGTTTTATTATTATTGAATGCATGTTTAATTTTTGGTTGAGTTACAATTACATCCTTATTATCATTATTTTTTAATGAATCAATCCATTCCGTATACATTTTTAAATGATGACGTTGCATATGACGTGTATAATTAGATGTTACACCGATTTTGTGAGTAACTAAATGTTTACATACTAAACATTCACTTGACGTTTTACCATCGGCATGTTCTTTGTAGTTAACAAAAAGTTTCTCGACACAAGACTTTGGATTACCTTTTTTAGTTGATTTATTCTGAACAGTTTGTAAGACAGAAGTACTGCTAATGGAACTAGACGAACTAGATGTTGCCATTTGAAGTATTTTCTAATTTTACAAAAATATCAGCGGTTATAACACACGATATGGATAAGTGAGCAAGAACAATCAAATAGATCGAAATTAGATTTCGTTTTATTTCTGTGTATTTCTTAAGAAATAGACATGAGACAGGAAAAACGAGAGACTTGTTTGCATCAACTCTAATGTGATCACTGCAGAAAACGACAACGCTGCAATGTGTCTTTTTTCGCTCATTCGAGATCATATGATCATCGGTTGCATATATACACATAAGTTTAACATATTCAGAATATGTAAACGTTGAACACATGTTAATATTGCTTTTATGCGACGTAACAAAAACAAAAAAAATTTTAGAGTTGCAAAACTTTTCAACTGGAGTTGTGGAGTTGGAGTTGAAAAAATCTGAACTCAACTCAACTCTTATCTAATAAAAACGCAACTCCAACTCAACTCCAACTCCACTAAGAAAAAGCTCAACTCCGGAGTTGGAGTTGCCCATCTCTGTGTTGATGTATACCTCCATCTGATTTTGAAACCTTTATTAACAAAAAACAGAGAAGAGAATAATAATAATAGAATGCTAAAACTGTTTTGAATTTCTTCGTCAGTAGCAAATAAGTAAAACACACAGTAAGAGAGTAGTGGAAATGAAAGACTAGTAACAAAAACTCAGTGGCTAAATTGATGAATCATGTCTTTCTTAAAATAGGGAAACAAAAAATTAGGAACTACTGACGATAAATACAGTGGTTATGAGCAGGGGCGGCGGAACGGTTTGAAAGCTGTGGGGGCGGATTTTTTTCCTGTAAAGTCAAGGAAAACTATCAGAGTATTTTTACATCATCTCACAACCTAGTGCTATTGTGTTTATTCCCTTCTTTCTTTATGTGTATAAACGCAACATACTAGCAATATCTTTTTTTTTTATTACGAATTTTTTTGACTACTTTGTCAATTATTTCATTGTCGAGTATTATTTTCTCTAGTTTGACAGTCAACGTTTTGCTGTTTGTTTTTATAAAATACGACAAAGAATGCTGAGAAGAGACCACGAGAGAATTTTCTTTAAATCAAAATGAAGATAGAAAACTAGAAATAATAATATTTCTACCTAAAGATAGCGAACCTGTGGGGACAATGCCATGTGCTCGCCCCCATGCCTCTAGAGCTGTGGGGGTGTCCTCTAGAGCTATGGGGACGACGCCCCCACTGCCCCTATGGTTCCGCCGCCTCTGGTTATGAGACAGACGGGATAAGATAAAAATGGTAGATAATAATATAAACACGAATCAAACAATAAATATCAGCTAAAAATATTTTCTTATGCTAATAAACAAACAAACAGGACTGAGATAGCAGTAAGAGTGAGTCTAAACATAATAGTCTCAAGTAAGGAGCAGCCCAGTCGAAAAGGTTTTGTAAAAACCATAATAATCACCTTTTTTTAAAACCAAGGTTACTTATCGTTCGTTGGTCACTTAGTATGGCATAACAGCGTTAGACAAATAAGGTTCAGGACCAGCAGCAATTTGGCGGCTAATACTATCATCGATGACTTGTAAATCGTCTTCCACCTGAGCACACACTAATTGTTCTTTTATGTCATGATTTTCTTGTTTTACTTTCTGTAACTCTTCATTTGATGTCTCCAGTTCGATTTCTAAGTCATGCTTTTCTTGTTTTACTTTCTGTAACTCTTCATTTGATATCTCCAGTTCAATTTTTAAGTCATGTTTTTCTTGTTCTATCACCGGGATTTTTTGTTTTAAATCACCTGTTTCTTGTCCCTGATCAAGAAATTTTTTCTGTTGTGCACATTCATCCTTGTATGACAAGAAAACGACAAAACTCACATGTTAACAGATACTTTCGCTAAGAGAGAAACAGTAGCTAGCGACTAAATTTAGTTGTAATGAACGAAAGAGTTGGTGCAATGGAATCCGATTTTTCCCCACGTGGAAGCGACGCTCGCATAGACATACTTCTTCAAAGAAAAACAGTGCAGATGAATTTTCTCGAAGAAGCCAGCAGTTTTTCCAAGAAAGCCCTGTAAACTTGTCAACGACGCTAAATCAAAAGCTGAAAACTTTTTTCCTACACTTATTCTACGGGGTTGTGCTTGTGCTTTGATCTCAGCTCCACTGATCATCACAACTAAATTCTGCCATGCCACTCAAACAAGAAAAAACTTTAAATGCCATTCAGTCCTTCTTACCATATTATTAACTTTTCCTTCCAAATCATGATGTTTAGCACCACGATAAACGTTGGGACCATTTGCTTCGTAGTAAGAGTATGGGTTTGCTAACATTTGCTCTAATGTTGCTTTTTCATTATGTTTAGCGTCATTCTGGAACAATATTTTTTAGTATTACATGAATTAGTGATAGAAATCTATATTTACTCCAAAGACGGGTAACGGTCGAGACCGATAGTTCCGCTTTGACGTTGAATCATTAATGCTAGTCTCATTGTCAGCCATAATTGTTTAAAATTTCGCTGACTGACACTATCTAAAACAGCCACAAAAAAATGAAAACGTTTGATCATGCAAAGAATGATATATTAAAAGAATTCACAATATCTTTAGCGAAACAAGAAAGAAACGAACGAAATAGAGTATTATAAAAAAAGACTACAATGATCAAAGTATTTGAAAAAAAATATCATTATGGATCAATTTCTTTAAGCCGTTCTGTTATTAATTCTTTCATTGTTAACAACAGTTCTGTAGAATAATCATGTAAAATTGTTGCCAGTTTATATTTATGCTCTGTTTTGTAATCGTTACTAACATGAATTAATTCAATTGCGATATCATGGAGGATCTGTATAAATAACTGTTGTGGCTGATGAAATAAAGCAATAATTTTCGAATATTGTTCAGATGATAACAGTTCCTGTCTATCTGTTGCACATGAAGTTAATATGTAAATAGCATACACTTGTGTAAACGAATGAACAGAATTGAGGATATCAATTAGATCTGTTGAATCTGGTAATATAATAAACAAGTTTGTTGATGATTTATACAATTGTATCGTTTTTATTAGCCTATATTCGTCGGTAATATATTTAGCTGATTTGATTTTCGCTTCCAGTTTTCGATATTCTACACGGTAGTTCGTTTGATTGGTTTTGTCGAACCATAAACAGCCGAATACATCATGCATAAACCCTAGGCACAAAGAAACTTCTAAAAGACAGCAGAGATAAAAAAGTGGCTAACTTTCCTGTAACAAGCGCGAGATACCCGAGTTTGACGTAGCTTATTGCCGACTGGTTGGACGGCAGTTTGATTTGTAGATATAAATAGGCGGAAAACCCGCCGGTCCAACTCCAAAAATGACTCACGAGGAAACCACCCGAGGTGATAAATCGATTTCAGGTTGGAACTATGTTTGTTAGAAAGCCCTACCGAGTAGTGAAATACCCTATCTTGATTCATTTTCTTCTTTATTTTATTAGTAGTTGTTTATTTTGCTTTTGTTTACAAGAATACACACAAAAATAGTCATTTTAACAATTCAAAATTGCATTTCA